ATATCCCATTGATGAAAATAAAGGAGAGGGATACTTTACATAACTGAAAACAATAAAAATGAAACAACCGGCCAGCCTTTCACCATAGGAGAATGGCAGGACAGCCTGCTTCCATAAGGGTTACAGCTGGGAAAACCAAGGGACAGGTCGACTCTGTAGTAGAGGACCGTGAGTGTCAGAATCCATTGCACCAGCAGGGGGCTCTTCAGTTTTATGTTCAATCTGTATTCAGCGTCTCCCCTGTATTCAGTGGTCCCTTTCCTCATAAATGATCTATTGTTTTCATCTTGCAATGGTCTTAGTTTACGTTCTGCCATCTAGTGTCCCTCCCCACTTTTGATTTCCTCCTCTAAATGATTTGGAAAGAGTTATATTGACTCTAGGGTGGAATCAGTAAACATGTGATTGTTCCAAGAAGTCAATGGACTAGAGCACGTAGTACTTCTCTCTCAGGAGGTTACCTCTTCAATTGGTGTCAACAGTAAATTCACAGTGAATTGGGATCTTGAATCCAACTGGAAGTGCCTCAGAAGAGAGGCCTGGAGATCTGCTTTTAAAGAATAAGCCATTGAAAACCCGATCGCATGCAGTTCTACTGTGACACACGAGTCTCTGTGAGGCAGAATCAACTTGAAGGCAGCTGGGCCAAGTAGGATATACATTCCTCTCTGAAGACAAGAACACCTTCCAATTCTGTACCCTCATTTCCCAGAACAGAGCATAGGTCATGAAGAATTCCATATACTAATTTACTCTTCTATTACAGTAAAGTAAAACATTATTTAAAATAAAATATTTAAATGGAGAAAACGTGGAGACAAACAGTACCTGGTTATATGGAACCTCATAATAATAAGAGCTGTTTTTTGTCTGGATGAATAGATAAAAAATAATAATAAGCCCAAGCATGATGGCAAGGATATTGTATAGGAAACCTTGACATATTTTAGATGAAATGTAAAACCACTATCCTGAGACTAGAATAATTTATCATCAGGTAGCAGTCCTTAGAATTGATATTGATTCTTGGTAAATTGCAACCAGAGTAACCTTGTTTTGTCATCACAACTCTCCCACTACATTATGTAACTATGAGACATTTCCTGAACATGTGTCCTCAGAATCTCTTCTTTGAGATTAACCATATAAGGAATAAAAGGGATGCACAGAGGTAACTAAAATGCCCTTGCCCATTTTCCAAGAGAACATTCTTTTGAGAAAATGCAATAAAATGAAATACAACATAATAATTATTTTGAAAAGCCAAATTGTCTGATGAGGTAATTTTAAATATAGAAGGAACTTAAAAATTATCAGCTTCAATTTCTTCATTATTGAACTGAATAAACTGAGTGTTTTAAGAGAAGAATCTAAGTGATTTCGCTAAGACTGAAATACCACAAGGCTCCCTCAATGGCTCAAATGGTTAAACAGTAGCCTCCTAACCGACGCATTGCTAGTTCAAAAGCACCCAGGCACCTCAGAAACCAGGCAGGCCTGGCCATCTCTTTCTGACAGGTCTCAGCCTAGAAAACTCTATGAAGCAGTTCTACTCTGTGTACCTGGGGTCACCCTGAGCCAGAATTTACTCATGCAGTTAACCACAAAAATGTCACAAATGTTATAGGTTGTGGGGCATAAGTTTGCCCACCACTGATGAAAGAAAGACCTGTAGATCGACTTCTTAAAAAACAGCGGGTGAAAATCCTGTGGAGCAAGAGTCCTGTCCTGAGAGGCCCACCATCCCCAGGAGTCGGGCAATGAAAATGTCCTAGAATGTGAGCGGCCTGATTTCCAGTTTAGTTTATGCTTGCCATATTACCATTAATGTAAAGTGTTAGTTTAACAACAACTTGAACCAAAGAAAGTCCCCCTACCCACCCCCACCCTTTGTTCTCTTAGACATATGGCTTCCATGGGGTCCAGGGATTGTCTGAAATCTCGCTCTGCCACTCATCATTGGTAAGTTTTTTACTCATTTATTGTCCTAAATTCATAATTTTTAAAAAGACATATAGAATTTTAAATAAGTAAATGCATCATATAACTTGTCCACCATTAGAACATAACAACAGAAATAATTAGAAATAATTTACTTGCCAGGAAATATTTTCATTAATAAGTTTTTCATTTCATCAAGGAAAATGGATAGAGAAGTCATAAGAGAAAGTAATTATTATTTACAATGTTGGCATGGAAAAAAATCATAATGCTAAAGAACCTAATAGATATCTATGATTTGACCAACAATTACAAGAATACTAGTGTATCTATTTTACAGATGAAGAAAATAAGTCATGAAGGAATTAAAACATTAATTACAGTTACTCAACTACTGAGCAGTAGAGCCTATACTTAGAAACCGAATTATTTCATTTGTTTCCATTATACATTTGAGTACATTAGATAGCTTAGAAAACAACTGATCAAAATTCACTTTAATTTTCCACCTTACCACATAATTTGGCCATAGAATTTAAAATTAAAGTAACTGATTTTCTGACTACAACATACTGTAACTTATCCCTGTAGGAAAGCAGCCCTGGTGACAGAGAGGACTGCTAACCCCAAATTCAGCAGTTTGAAACTACCAGCCACTTCAAGGCAGAAAAATGAGGCTTTCTACTCCTGTGAAAACTATATTTTCAGAAATTCATAGGGGCATTTTTGCTCCATCATCTAGGGTTGCTATGAGTTAGAATTGACTAGATAGCAATGAGTTTGGATTTTTTGCTTTTTTAATCACTATTGGAATGAAGGGGTAAAGAAAACAGCATTTGTATATATTAGAAGTTATGATGAATGTTACTTAAAAGTCAGTTTACAACGTCAAAACATTGTAGCGTTCTTTATAAGGAAATTAATAAAGTCTTTTAATGCTTAAAATAAAACAGTATTTAACTACCATTCCTTTTTGAGGGTCTGAGAAAAAAATGAACGGAAATTTATGGATATCATGGATCTCAGAATCTTATGAAATAAGAAATGAGGACTAAAGGTAAAGTTAAAAGTTCTACTATGATTTTGTCTTGTCCTGTTCATTCCATTTAATTAACTCAAACATTTATTAAGGATTTCCTTTATTGAGGCTACATTAGAATAAATATAGAGATGGCATTTAAGAATTCTTAACAAAAGAAGATGATTCAAGCCTTTGGCCTTTATAGCATTTCAAGTTTAGGAAATAAATCAATTTTCTTGAAATTTCACAGTTTTAATAAAAATTAATGTATTTACCACTGAAAAGGACAAATACCTTAGGTACCACTGAATCATTTTGCAAACTTTTCAGATTAAAAAAAAAAAGTGTCTCTATTACAGACCTTAGAGACTTTCTGCCCCGGCATAAATGAATGACTGATAGTTCATCTCTATGAGTGATTTCATTTGGAATTCTTCTAGTTATCTCGTCTGCACTGGGCAGATGACACAACGGTATCTGTGCTGCAGCCTATTAGTCCATTAGGAAACACAGTTTTTGTAAAAAAGAAATATTACTTGAGTCCTTATTTTCCTTGAAAATAATCTTAATGATTTTCAGCTGTTTTTGTCCCAATTCAATTTCAAAATTGTCCAAATGAGTGTGGGTCAGTAAAAAGGAAGAAGTATATTTTATGGGAGATTTATCTGTATAATAGTCTAAACAACGGTCCTCACAGACCTTGAGGTTGCTGTGAAGAACAAAAATCATATCATGGAAATAACATATTCCAATAATCACGAAACACTCATGTAGTGCATTAGACACAGACTGCACATATTGGAATATTCCTCCCCAGGTAAGTCACCTAACTCCTCAGTGGCTGAGTTTCTTCTATTGTCAGATGAGATGATAATAATAGAACCCCATAGAGTTGTCAGAAGGATTAAATGAATTATTTTACAGGCATCGACACACGGTAAGGGCAGAGCTTTCCTTCATTATTGCTGCCAGTAACTTCACGTTACAAACTGGTGAGAAAGTTGTAAGTTTTTATGGCCAGGAGACCCTGGATGCTGTTGTACTCCGTATGACAATGTCCTTCCGGGGGAGGAGGAGACGAAGGCAAAAGAGCCCCTTTTAGGAAAGGTTATGCTTTGTGGTAAATTTTCTCACTGTTAAGGAATGGATTATAGACTGAAGTTTACTGTTCCCCCACATTCCAGAACAGTCAGCTAACACTTGATTATATAGCAAGTAATCCTATTGTTCTTTGATACGATATCTGACTATTTCACTAGTCTGAGAAGTTCTTGAAGACCAGAGCTATGTAAGAAATGTTTGAAAATAAAGGGCCTACCAATGTCTCCTGTGCAGAGACTCTCAATGCATGTCAAAGGGATGATGAAGGAGTTCAAATAAAATAATTTTATATATATATTTAAAGATCATAGATTTGACATTTGGGGAGACAGAATGGTATTTATATAGAATGGCTATAGCATTACAAATAAAATGTAAATGATCTTCTGAAAAATGTTCAACTTAGTTTTACAACTAAGAAACGATTCAACAGCCTTCCCAATAGGACTGCTTAGCTTAAGGAGTCACAATCACCTGTGTTAGGACTTTATTTGGACGCAAAATATTTAGCATTTCTTAAGTAGATGGAAAAGAGTCGTACTCATGTGGCCTCTTGACTAACCAATTACAATGCCTTCCTGAGAAGGAGAAACAGAAAATCTGCCTAAGAAGTTTCATTCACTGACACGGACAGAGAGCCCTAGCCGTTTGAGATGAGTTTAGGTTTAAGAAAGGAAGGCTTGTTGTAACTGACATAAGATGAGGAAAACATTTCTCTGATTTGAAATCTTGAGGAGAATTCCCAGTGCATATGGCACTGCCCACACTTACCTTCCAACATGTATGATACATGGCAAAGTGAGCGGATTTCTAATAGGAATGATAAACTTATTAAAAAATGATAGTGATTTGAGCTAATTATCTACAATTGTATGACTTCTACTTATGCTTTTACTTCTCAGACATAATAAGGTATGTGTATCTGATGACTTCTTACCCTGTTTGAATCAATTCTGGCTCTGGAAGTATAGATGGGAGGAGGGATGTTGAAGGCCTGAGGGACCAGGTACTCCTCAGCATCCATCATGTCTTCCAAATCCTCTTCGTCTAGTAGATTCTGGAAGAACTTGCTGTCATTTGGACTAGGAAGCTTCATGCGGTCATCACCCTAAAGGACCACCCAGCAAACAAATAAACCAAAGTCAATACGACATTGTGATTCTTCCCTTCATTTTAAATATGTGGTTTTTGGAGAGCATCCATATAATACTGAAACAAATGGCTGAAATATGTATTTATTTTTTTTAATGTGGGATTTTTTTTAGCATACACCCTGTCACAAAATAGCTCACTGTAATAGGGCAGATGTGACAGGATAAGAGAAATAACTACAGTGAGAATGTGCCAAATACCAACAGAGACAAATTTGAATGTGAGGTGGGCTGCTAACTCCAACGTCAGCAGTTCAAAACCCCAAGCTGCTCCTCAGGAAAGAAACAAGACTTTCTATTCTTGCAAATATCTACAGTCTTGGAAAGCCACGGGAGCCATTCTATCCAGTCCTCTGGGGTCACCATGAGTTGGAATTGACTTGCTGGCCATGAATTTGGTTTTGGGTTTTCGGAAGTATGTTTTGAGGGAAAACATCCTTTTAGGATCTGAGATAATCTCCATGACAATATAGCATGGGTGTTATGACTTGAAGAGTAATTAATATGGGGCAGTCAATTTAACAATCTCAAATTTATTGTAGGTACACTTGTTTGGATTATCAGCATAGAGTAGCCAGGACACACACTTTTCATAATTTGGTCTTTTGCATAATGTGTATATTGTCAAAGTACTGACTTTTAAAATCACCCCACAAATGGGAAAGCACTGCTGTGGAGGGAGAAGGCACCTGGACTCTGGTTGTGCTCTTTCTCACCATGTCTGTTACTTAACTCTACCTTTTGTTCAATGTCTATGAAAACCAACGGGTTAAAATAATAGAAAATCATAAAGATTTTCTCCTCTAAGATTCAATTTTAATATTCATGTTGGCTTATTGATGTGAAGATAAATGTTCATTTGTTCCTAGTGAAGAAACACCATTCAATACAGTCTTTGGTCCATTAATTTATGGTGTGTTTAAAAGTAATCCAGAGAAAAATATTATAATTCTAATGTATCAAAACCTATTTTTCTAGCGATTAATATAAAATATAGTTTGGTCTGTTATTTGATTCATGTGCACATCATTTTATTTGTATTTGAGTTATTACTTGGATACTACATATCTCCCAAAGAAAAAACATAATTTAAAACATCTTTGTAGGACATTAAAATGTGAATATGTTAATGCTTAATTCACCATATTTAAGAATGAGAAAAACAAAACAAAAATGCCTCTTTCCTTGACTCTAGGAAAGGATGAGCATGTTAAGGAATGATACAGAATATTAAGAAAAAGCAGAACACTAGAAGGAGCATTTGATCCATGCTACTTTGTGCACATGGACAATCACTGTCACCTGGCTGTTCAATAGCAGAGTTGCTTGCACACCAAGGGGACAGGTTTAAGAGGTAGTGTGACTCCCAATGAACATTTACACTGCCATTCTGTCCAACTACCACAGTAAAACTAGTCATGAGTTTTGCAATTCAAACCCTAGATGTTATTCACATTGTGTAATATGTTTGTCTTCGGGGCAGTTTAAAAAACATAAGTGAAAGGCACTAACCTGAATAACTAGGTATCTTTGAGGGTCTCGAGCCATCCTGGAAAATTCAGCGGCCAGTTCTTTGAATTTAGGTCTGCTGTCAGCATCAATCATCCAACCTAGAGATTCACACACAAAGGAGTCAACATGTCTATCATTTTAAAAAGACAGGAGATTTAAACTTTATGAAAATACAGTCTAAATGGTAAAAGATGATAACATTGCACCCTTTGGGATGTTTCCCACCAAGGGGGGAAAAAGGCAGGAGAATAAAGCTAGTGTACAGTGATCAGTAATGTTTGCTCAGCAACAGCCATTAGCTTATCTAGTACCGCCCTCTCCCTCACACCGCATTGGTTAGCACAGAGTCCTGATAAAATGGATCTTATCCTCCCAGCTCTGTTTAGCTGAACTGAAGGCTGATAAAAGCACCAAGTGTTCTTGCCAATGGCCACCTTCACAAAGCGGGTATGACCCTATCAGATAAATAAGAAGGTTGGCTAGTCATCAAACTATATAAATGAAGCTTTTTCTTACATGCACATTATATAACACGTGGTTTTTTAATCCCTGATTTCCTTTTCTTTCATAGATGTCTACCAACTCCTTGATCCACGTTACCAGGGGTATTCCTTTCCTGGGAGTCCCCTGTTCACAACAGTTCTGGGCAGGGTTTGGGTGTCATTGTATGAGCCAGAATATCACCTTTCCCCCTCTCCTACCAAGCTCAGATGTTCTATGCTAGTTCTGTTCATGATAGGTACTGCATCCACTTTTTAAAAACTGCTTATACAGATGCAGAAAAGGGTGTTTGGGGCATTGCTGGAACCAGCCACAAAAGGTTAGCCTCATGGTGAACTTATCAGTGTCTAACTAAATGTTGAGTAAACACAACTAGGCTTAGAGGAAAGGGCATTCTGACCTTATTTCTTATTTCTTCCCTCCCTGTCAGAAGGCATCAACCATGTGATGAATATAAATCTGAATAGACCTGGGTCCAAAGTCTCATATTAATAAGCTGCTTATTCACCTTCACAAGGTTGTTTCTTTGCTAACGCAGTATAAATCAAAAGGGGAAAAACCCAGATTATACAAGAGAGATTGCTGCCTGTTAATCTCACTTAAATTAAGTCAGAAACTCCAGAGACTTCTCTAATTCTATTTAAATTAGGTTCTAGGCTTTCAAAACACATTTATAATACATATGTTTCTGGGGCATAGAAAAGGAAAAGAAAAGTAAGCATCAAATGTCAACAAATGATTAAATTTGAAAAGAAAATTACACATTAATAAGCTTTTAGGTTCATTTGCTGGGTTCAAACCTCACCCCATCCCACTACTTTCTTGCTAACTAAAACTGATCACCAGATTTCCAGTGAATCCATTTTTTTATAAACTATCAATTTTATGTTTCTTTTCTTTATGCTTAGATCACTTAATTAGATTGGTATCTTATAGCATAATTGTGACTAATTCTTCCCTTTGTGGGCAGACAATGTTGTTGTCCTGGAGATTATAAGAAACAAAATGAAATGAATGAGAAGTAAAACTCTTATGATTTTTACTTCATAATATGAAGTATGCTATTAGTAATATCACTACTCTTGATATAATTATGAACTATTATCAATATTTTTAAATACAGAGAGACTTAATACAGGTAGACTGATTTACACTATTATTTGACTCTGAATGGTGGTGGTTATGATAAAAATATCTTGCTGTCTTACATTTGACCATGACCATGTAAACGTCGATGGTGCAGATGGGAGGTTGAGGCAAACGTTCTCCTTTTTCTAATAAATCAGGGATTTCTCGAGTTGGAATTCCATCGTAGGGCTTTCCTCCAAAGGTCATCAGTTCCCAAATAGTGACTCCTAAATTGGAGATCAAATTTGGATGGGAGTATATTAACAGTATACAGGAAACAAATGAACAATACGACAATGACAAAATCATGCTTTTTAAAAGCCAAGTAAAAGATAATCTAAAGAAAGCCTCTTCAGATTGCTATTTTCCTTTAAAAAGTCCAACCCAATGTCTCCATGGGAAATAGAATTATCCAACTTTTAATGGAAAGCAGAGACAATTTAGAGTGAAAAGGAGAGTATAGGATCTGTCTCCTATCCAAACTCAAAAAAAATGTTAAGATTTGCCAGCCCAAGTTACTTTTTCACCAATCGGTAAAGGTATACATGTAAATTCAGTACCAAATAAGTATGATGGCATGTACAATCTGCTATGGACACATTTGTGGACTAGTCATATCTTTACTATTAAACGCTATAAAGGTTGAGCAGAAGTTCTAGGATGATTACCGTCTACTATGAAAAATCACTACTGCTATTCTTGCAACTAAAACAAAGAGAAGTAACAACAACAACCCACAGAATAAAACAAAGAACCAAACTACTTGTGAGATCATTCTGATTCATTGTGACCTCACGTGTCTCAAACTAAAACTGGACTCCATAGGGCTTTCAATGGCTGATATTTTGAAGCGGATGGCCAGGCCTTTCCAGTGAAATAAAACAGATTAATTTCCCTGGCATTTATGAAACCCTAAGTGAGGAATGATTCATATGTAAGATACAATACATGAGTCTGTGAAGGTGAATCACACCCAAATCCAAACTCACTGCTACCGAGTCAATGTCAACTGTAGTGACGCTATGGGGCGTGGTAGAGCTGCCTCTGTGAGTGTCTGAGACTGTAACTTTCAAGGTAGAAAAATTGACAGGAATTGAGAATGGTTTATTCCTTAATTAAATGACTTCCTGAAATCACTAAAACATTAATTTTTTTTAGGCCAAAGCCAACACCCTATCATTAGCCTGTAAATACTCAATTTTGTTCATCACAATGCTGGTTTTAGCAATAACATATAGTTAGATATCTTTATGACATAATAATTACCTAATTTAAAAGTCATATTTTTCTTACAAATAAAATGTGCAAGTTCAGAAATAGCTAGATGGACCAGTTACCATTACAAAGTGAAATTTGAGTGCTGCATGTACATAAACAACCTCCCAACATGTTCACTGTCAGCAAGTCGAGGATTCTGCCTCATAGCAACCTTACAGAACAGAGTAGAACTCCTCCTATGTTTCTGAGACAATACCTCTTTATGGAAGTAGAAATTCTCATCTTTCTCCTGTAAAGTGGATGGTAGTTTTGAACTAGTGATCTTGCAGTTACCAGCCCATATGCCACAAGGGCTCCTTATATGCATATAGGTATCTTTTAATATAAATCCCACTTAATTCAGTTCAGGTTTCCTCAGTCACTGCCATCAGTAATGAACTACTTGTTCAAATGGAAGTCTTTTAAGGCTTAAGATCATTATCACTAACTTGTTAATAAACTTGCAAAGCTGAAAATACAAAAGTTTGTGTAAACTTCAAATTATCCTTTATAATAACCCATTGCCATTGAGTTGATTCTGACTCATATTGAACCTATAGGACAGAGTAGAAATGCCCCATAGGCTTTAAACATTGTCAAACTTATGCATACATACTGCTGCAACTTTCTCCCAAAAAGAAGGTTTGAACTCCTGATCTTTGGGTTAGCATCCACTTAACTACTGTGCCAAAGAATCATGACTATTACTTGACACATTGGCACCCCCCTGGGAGAGTGTGTGGGCTGCAAACCATACTGACACAGAGTGACACCAAGTCTGTCTGTAAAATGTTTATAGAGTAGTACAGCAGATATTTATTAATTTTATCAAAATATTCTTGTAGTGAGTTAAAAAAACAAAGGCATGTCTTGTTAAACAAAGCTGTGGTGGTTACATAATCTGTCAATTTGCGAATGGGTGGAGTCTAGCATGTCAATCAGGTCACAGCCAATGAGGCCTCTGTGTGGGCATGGTCTTCTCCTGAAGATTCTGGGAACTCCTATCTTCCTCCCAGGAGGTGGGGCACACACACTTCCTGCTGACAAGCCACATAGAGATCCCGGATGGAACTAGAGCCCTGGAGCTGGAGGAGCCACATGGAGACCCACACCAGCATTAAGATGCTTCCACCGCCACTGGATCCACAAGACTTTCCACCCACTGACTCATGATCTTCCTACATTCGGCGTCATTGCATGTGTTGTGTGATTCTGAAGAGGAAATTATAGACTGGTATTGGGCATGTGGGCTAATTGATATCAGACTTATGGAATTGATCTGGACTGGGCTGGGATGTTTTCTGAATATACAATTACCCTTTGATATAGAGTTCTCTATACCCATATGAGTGCCTCTGGATTTATTTCTCTAGTCAACCCTGACTAGCACAATAACTTACAAGTATCAATATGTCTACAAAGCTAAAACTGTATTATCATTTGTACACTTCCAAATGCACTTCAGGAGCCCTGATAGCAGAGCGGATTGAGCATTATTAGGCTGTTAATGAAAAGATCAATGCTTTGAATCCACAAACTGCAGTTTGGGAAAAAATGACGCCATCTGCTGCTGAAGACTTACAACCTCAGAAACCCTACAGAGTAGTTTTACTCTGTCCTACAGGGTTGCTAAGAGTCAGAATCGACTCCAGGACAGTGGGGGTTTCAAGGTGCTCTGGTCAGAGCTGTCATTGTTATCCAATTACGTTGTTTGTTGATAGGTACCACAAGTCCGTTTCATGCATAGCCGGATTCAAACCACAAGGTAGTTTCCTGTCTGCAGTGCAGACGGAGGCTATTGCTTTTGTCAAGGAGCTCTGGTGGTGCAGTGGGCGGCACTTTGGGCTGCTGACCTTGACGTTCCCATGACTTGCAAACCACCAGTGGTTTGGGGCGGGTCTTGCTACACCCATAGAGAGGTACGGTCTCAGAATCCCACAGGGGCGGTCTACCGTGTCCTATAAGGTCACCATGAGTCAGCATGGATTTGATGGAAATGAATTCGGTGTGGTTTTGGTTGTTTAGTTGCAGTTGTTGTTTTATCAAGTCTTCAGGAGTTTTAGCTACAATATTGTGGTAAGCAGTTATTATGAATCTATGTAAAGAATATCTCTGAGAATGAAGTAGTAATTAAAGGAACAGAAGGGGCTACTCAGTTACTAATGACCGTACAACAATTCAATGTAGAATAACTTAAAACATAATTTTGGTGTTCATATTCACATGATATAAGAAATATTACAGTTAAGAGTGGTATATCCATATTCATCACAAAATATTCAATGATTAATATGGATAACAAACATTACTAAGAATTCTGTATGGTCTGTAAGTAGAGCTGAGACAGGATAGGTGTAGTAAGATAACACCAGACATTACTACATTACGAGACACCAACCTTAGTGACTTTGTTTACCTGATAGTGTGTTTGCTAATATTTATTCACCATGTCTTTATTTATAACATAAATATATAATAAGTGGCACAATGTAACTATTGAGCTGATTAAATCCTACTCAATTTTGTATAATGAGGAATGACTGCATACAATCATCACTGGTTATAACCCCATCCCCATGAGGCAGGCTGGAACAATTTCAGAAGTTGAAAATTGCCTACTTTTAATCAGTCTTACTCAAAGAGTATGTAGTTTAGAGGTAGAATTTTATCAACTACGTAGGCAGTTGGATTTGTTTCTCTAGTCAGCAGACTAGAAGAAATATCTCTTTACAAAAGACTGAAGAGATATTATCACATCTCTTGCAGAAATTTCCATGTAAGCAAGAAAACAAGCAATTACAAATCAAACTAATATATAGTACGGTGATTAGATTTTGTGTCAACTTGGCTGAGCTAGCATTCTCAGTAGTTTGGCAGTGAGGTCTCTCCCATAATGTGACCTAACATCATGTCAATGATACCATAAGGATAAGGTGGAGTGCAGTCCCTGACTCAGCTTGATGAGGTCGCCTTGGGGATATGATCTACTTCCTATCTGTAGGTAGAGGCTGTGGAGAACTTGCTCTGTCTCTTCTTCTTTCAGGCCTGGATCCTGCATCTGATTTCTTGGGACTTGGGTAGGTGGCCCATTATGTGGTTTGCCAAACCAGGAAGCTGTTAGTAGCCTGCCATGTTGCCTGATGACCTTGGATTCACTTGACAACCTTGGAGTCCACCTTGGTCTTGCTGCTGATGCTGCTTCTTGTTTTGTCCTCCTGCTTCCTGGTTTGTGGGCCTGGCAGCTTCAGGGGTCAAGAAGGACCTCCAACTTATCATCTGACCCATGGACTTGAGATGGACTAGACCTGTCTGCTGTGCAGCTGAACGGGCCATTCTCTTGACATGAATTTCTCTTTTAGATACATGCAGATACCATTCGCACTCTCTAGAAAACTATAAATCCCCCACCTCTGCCAATAACAATCTAATTATATTATTACAGGAATGATAACAAAAAGGTTTCAACAGAAATGAATTCATGTTAGACAATTTCAGCAAAACTACATCACAAACTTCCTCAAAACTTACATTGTCATTCTATCATTTGAAGATACATACTATAGCAGATACATATCTATTTTATGAAAATGAAGATGCACCTAGTGGCCCTTTTACACAAAGGCACGCTATGAACAGAATTATGTAATAGTTTTCTTTGCCTTGTATGCCTTTTATCATCAACTATGATGTAGCTCACAATACCTTATGGCTTGGGATTGATGTTCTGAACTAAGGTTCAAAACAGAGCTTGCATGCTTCCTTGCTTGTGTGATTGATTGGTTACTATTGATTTTATTTGTCTGTTTGCTTATTCTTACTGAACAGGTTCTGCTTCCAAGACTTCGCAACTGAAGATAAATGTGATAGCCCAAGTAGCCAAATTTCTACCCAAACATAAACTTCGATGTGAAAAACATGACTTTCATCCTACTAACATTTTACATTTTAATTGATTTTTTTAAACTTTCAAAGATTAGTTAAAATTTACCTATAACAGCTTGCCTCATATAATTCAGATAAATACAAGGCGGTTGGAAAAATTAAAGACAAAGAATATATGAGCTAGATATGTGATAGATTTGTTTTTCTACCTCCACCTTACAATGGTTACAACTAAAAGTTGTCAAGCCTCCTTTGTTTACCTGTCTAAACCTCATCACAACGTATTTCTGTTCTGCTCCCAAGCTGAGTGAAGGCAGCGCTGATAGTGCAGTGGCTACTCAATGGACTGCTAAGTTCAGTCATTTGAAACCACCAGCTACTCCCTGGAAGAAAGAAAGAGCTTTCTACTCCCATAAAGAGTTACATCTAAGAAACCCACAAGGGCAGTTCTATCCGGCCCTTGTGGGTTGTCCTCAGTCTGAACCAACTCTATGGCAGGAAGTTAAATTAGTTACACTGAGTACAATACATGAGGACTGTTAACCGCATGGTCAGCGGTTCAAACATACCAGCTGCTTTGCCAGAGAAAGTTGAGATGGTATGCTCCTCAGAGATATACAGCCTGGGATGTGTCAGAATTGACGTGATGATAGTGGGTTTTCACACAAATGTAAATATATGTAAATATAAAAATATATGCTTTGCATATGTTGTTGTTGTTAGATGCCACTGAGTTGGTTCCAAGCCATAGTGACCTTATGCACCTGTGCCACCCTCACAATCATTCCTCTGCCTGAGCCATTGTCGTCACCACAGTGTAAATCCATCTCGTCCAGGACTTTCTTCTTGTTCATTGCTGCTCTCCTGTATTAAGAAAGATGTCCTTTTCCAGAGAAAAGTTTCTCCTGATAAGATGTCCAAACCAGGTGAGGAGAAGTCTTGCCATTTTTGCTTCTAAACAGCTTTCTGACTGTACTTCATCTAAGGCAGATTGATTGATTCTTTTTGCAGGCCTTAGTACTTTCAATATTCTTCTCGAGCAACATAATTCCCTTGCATAGATTTTTCTTCGGTCTTCCTTATTCAGTGTGCAACTTTCACATGCATATGAGGCGACTGGGTCAGGCTCCTATTAATCCTTAAACTAACATCCATGCTTTTCAACATTTAAAGAAGTTGTGCAGTAGATTTACCTAATGCAATGTGTCCTTTGATAACTCTTGACTGCTGCTTCAGGCACTTTATTGTGGATCCAACAAGATGAAATCTTTGACAACTTCAACCTTTTCTCCACTTGTCATGATGTCACCTGTTGGTCCAGTTGTGAGGATTTTGGTCTTCTTTACATTGAGTCTTAATCCACACTGAAGGCGTGAATACTTGATCTTCATCAACAAGTGTTCAAGTTCTCCTCGTTTTCAGCACGCAAGGTTATGTCATCTGCATAAGTCCTCTTTGAATCCTGATACTGCACTCTCCTTCATATAAACCGGCTTCTCTGATGATTTGCTCAGAAGACAGACTGAACATGTATGGCGAGAGGATACAACCCTGACACACAACCTTCTTGATTTTAAACCATGCAGTATCCCCTTGCTCTGTGTGCACAACTGTCTCGTGATCTTTGTACATGGTTTGCATGAGCACAATGAAGTGTTCTGGAATCCCCATTCTTATCAAGGCTATCCATAGTTTGTTATAGCCCACACAGTTGAATGCCTTGTCATAGTCAATAAAACACAAGTAAACATTTCTGGAATTCTCTGCTTTCAGCCAAGATCCATCTAACATAATAAGTAATACTATCCCTTGATTCATGTTCCGTTCTGAAAATAGCCTGAATTTCTGGTAGCTCTTGGTCAATGTCTTTCTGCAAACATTGCCGGATGATCTTCAGAAAAATTATACTTACAATATCGATGATTTTGTTCTGTTATTTGTGCATTCTGTTGGGTAACCTTTTGGGGGAATAGGTGCAAATATGGATCTCTTCGTCAGTTGGCCAGGTAGTTGCCTTCCAAATTCCTAGTATAGTCAAGTGAGTGCTTCCAGTGCTTCATCAGCTTGTTGAAACATTTCAATTGGTTATGTATCAATTCCTGGAGTCTTATTTTCTGCGAATGCCTTAAGAATAGCTTGGACTTCTTTCTTAAGTGCCACTGGTTCTTGATCATATGGCACCTCTTGGAATGGTTGAATGTTAATTAGTTCTTTTTGGCACCGTGACTCTATTCTTTCCATCTTCTTTTGATTTTTCCTGCCTAACTGAATATTTTGTCCATGAAATCTCTCATTATTGCAACTTGAGGCTTGAATGCTTTCTTTAGTTCTTTCAGTTTAAGGTATGCTGACTGTGTTAGTTATATCATGATTGTAAACACCTTGACTATACTTTTAACTTAAATAAGAAATGCATATTGTGCCTTCTATTTGTGAGTTAGAAATATTAACACTCTGTAATATAATTAAAGACATAAAAAGTGTTGACTCTTTCTAACACCTGGATTTTAAGTTAGACATAATCAGACAGATGTTAAATACCTCACCTCAACAACTGAGTTAAATTCAATTAAATAAGTGCTCCACTTAGAAAAATAAAATCACTGTATTCCAGTTTATAGTAATCATTCACATTGCTGTTTACTCTAAGGTAGTTTGCAAATTAAAATCAAAACTGCAACAAGCAATCTTTATCCTAAGGTCTTTCTTTACTTACCATATATACTCATGTACAAGCCGAGTTTTTCAGCACATATTTTAGCAGTTTGTGTGGTAAAATTAGGAACCTTAGCTGATATTTGGGTCGGCTTATACTCGAGTATACACAGGACTTTGGCTGCTCCCTCCTGCTTTTAGTATCGCTTCTTATATTATGATAAAACCTCTGATTTCCTGGCAGTAGAGCAGAAATTAAAAGCGACAAAAAATGGTTGGTTTTTTGTTGTTGTTGTTTTTGCTTGTTTTTTTAAACATCTATTGTATTCAGAATTTTCAGATTTGTTGAAAATCAAGGCCATGAGAGTCTGTGACCCCATTCCCAAATTCACTTCACCTTTTGGGGTATTAGCATCTCGGTGGCTATGGACGCAGAGTGGGTAGCAGACAAATCAGGCTGGATTACGTTTCAGAAAAACCCCAAAATGCAAAAGACAGGAGACAAGATCATTGAGAACTTTTGTTTCTTAAAGGAAGATTTAACTCAAGAAATGGGACTTATAAGAAGTTTTCTCCAACAGAAGAATATAATGTGGCTGAATATATTTTACATAAATCTAAAAAACGTATTTCACGAGGAAAATGTATTTACCATAGCTCCAAACGTCACTCTGATGGGTGAATTTCCTATAGTGTATACATTCCAGAGCCATCCATTTAATTGGCATCTACAGAGAAATAAAACAGGAAAAGTTTTATAGTTACTTAAAAAGTCACTTCTACAGTTATTTCCTAAATGTACTTTCTTGAACTTTCTTCTAGTGTGTAAATATGCATATTTAATAAATATGTAGTGTGTTTTATAAATAGGAAACAAGTGAACTAAAGTTTATATTAACTATACATTTATATTCATAGGAAAAAATGAAGCTATTTCAATAAAGATTTAAAGTCTCTGAAACCCAAAGAGGTACTTCTACCATGCCTGTAGAGTTGCTCTGAGTCAGAATTGCCTCGATGGTAGTGAAAGGTAGTATACATTTATATTAATTACATATAAACTATAGTAACCATGTATTCACATTATTTTTACATAGGCAAATGAATTAATATTTATAAAGTTCATTCAGTGACTTGACCTAAAGATGCACTTTACAAAAAAATCAACTGCATAAATAGTAAAAAGTAAAATAAGGGCCACCTTTTGAAGTTTTTAAAAATTTTATGCTTGTGGTAGTTACTTACTTTTATGTCAACTTGAAGATATGTAAAAGTGTAGGAGTAGTATCCAACCTGTCAATCAGGTCACAGCTGGATGGTGCCTCCTTGTGGGCATGGCCTTCTCATAAGGGGGGCCCTAGGAACCTCCCCTTCTCTCTGCCTTCACCTTCCTGCTGGCTCACCACCTTAAGAGATATCGGAACTCTGCTATGTTCCCACAAACCCTGGATCCCCAGAACTTTGCAATCATGGGCCTGTGGTGTTCCTGCATTCTGCCCCATTGCATGTGACTGTGTGAGTCCGAAGAGGGACGTGGAGACTAGTGTCAGACTTATGGACCTGAGCTAGATTGGGCTGGGATGTTTTCTTTTTAAAAAAATTTTTTGGCAGGTGGATATTTTCTTGATATATAATTACTTCTTGATATAAAGCTTATTTTTACACATATATGGGTGTCACTGGATTTGTTCCTCTAGACCGCCCCGTCTAACACAATGTTCACTAATTAATCAGTTAATATTCTAAGTCAAAATATCACATTTAAACATGTGGCAGATATGCCACCTAAAATATACATATTATCCTGGGTATCATGTCATTTCTTTTTACCCTCAAGACAAACTGTGGGGCCTTTGCACAATGGATTTCTCTTATACTCACACCCGCTCTTTACTCATATAATCCGACTATTAAAATGTCTAAAATCATGAATTCCAAAGTTGGCTTTGCTTTGTTTCCCTGTTACAAATGACCTCCTTCATCTTGGCCAGACTGTATTGAACATCTGAACTGTTTTCAAAATAGGAGCTATCTAAAAGAATGCAAGAGGATCAGCACAAAGCCATCACTAAGACAGGACAAACAACTCACCCCGTGTACCCTGCTGATGACGGGTCCACAGACTGAGTTTCCACCACAAAGGGAAGCATTATATAGCTAAGGATATAATTAGATTCTATGGAATAAAGATAAACACTTCTACTTTGCAGTTGAAAGCTTAAAACTAAATAGGCCTTTGAAATCATGAGGCTGGCTGCTCACCAAGGTGACATCAAGGTAACGCTATGACAGAATCATGGTATTCAATGAGAGGGAACAGAAGACACATTGAAAGTAATTTCCCTATGGGCAAGGAGTTAGCTGACTTTATGGACTACGGACATTGTGTTAAAGAAGTAAGTTTAAATCACAGGTGGCTTGATAAAGACTTAATGGTTGCTAGCATTTAAAGCTATAATGAATCATACTTTAGACAAATCCTACAGCTGTATCTACTCAAGACAAGTGAAGTCATGTGATTTATAGACTTCTACCTCTGGGCACCCTTGTCGAGTTTCTGAGCTGTAATCTCACAACCCTGGAATCTGTTATTACACAGACAAACTAGACTAATAAAATCAAGGATAAGTCATGCTCAAAAATAGAAGGATAAAAAAGAAACTTTTACATTTTGAGAAGATTTGAATATCTATAGATGTGAGAGGCCAGGATAAAAATCAACCGTAAGGCTGGCTTGTGGAGTGGGCACATCGGGGAACTTAATTGGGGAACCTGAGCTTGCTGACCCATAGGGTGGAGCTGAGTGTACAGGGATTGTGGTTTATTGGAGTGAGGTGTCCTCTTCAGGGAGCTGGGTTTGTTGACCCAGGGAGATTGAGCCGCTCGCCTTGGGGCTGAGGTTCACAATGGTGTGGTGTGCCCTTTGGGCTGCATTAGCAGCCCTGAAAGAACTTTGTAACAAGTCCTGATGAACAACTATAACTGAGTTTTTCTCACCTGCATTAAAATCTATTTTCTTCTTTTTTTTCTTATTAACTTAATAAACCCTTTAACCATGAAGCTTGTAGTCATTGCAATGAATTATAGAACTTAGATATAAAAGAATAAGAATGTTGGATGGGTGACAAAACACTACAACAAGCTAAGTACTCAGTTAATGAGGAGATACAAAGGCAAGAAATAAGGCATGGATTGAAACCATATGGATGATGAGTGAGCCAGGGGTACGGGGTACCACGGAAGCACTGCATAGGCCCCTAGAGATGTGGGGAGGGTAGGACAAGTAGCATTAATAGGAAAGTCATATGCTATGCTAGGACATGAAGAAACTAAAGGCAGTTCTGTCTGGCTGCACATTTAGATAGAATAGTCAACCTTCCAATGAACTATGGTGTTTGGAAGGTTACTTCCTAGTCTATGTGAAGGAATGAGTTATCTGTCTCAAAGAGTCAGGTCTATGTTCTTAAGATCAACAGAAAATACTCTACATGAATGGATCAAAACTTAATTCTCAAGAGTCCCAAACATTCCATCCACATCCCAACATTAACCCTAATATCAGGGCCATTATTTTATTTTAGCTGTTTTACAGAAATAGAGGCTGGCAGTATGTACCACATATATTTATTGATCCTAGTCAGAAGCAAAAGCAAACTCCGGCACTTGGACTTTATAAACGCCTAAATCTCAGGTTTACTAGATTTCTTATATAAAATAATATAGCGCTATACTTACTTTTCAAGCAATGTTGCTTCCTAAAAGACACATACCTTCCCTCCGTCGGCATTATATTCTTTTTCATCTCCTTCCAAGAGTCTGGCTAGTCCAAAATCTGTGATTTTCACATGATTTGGTGATTTTACTAAGACATTACGTGCTGCCAAATCCCGATGAACAAGCCGTCTTTCTTCCAGATACATCATTCCCTGAAAAACACCAAATTCCACAACAATGATCAGCTCATGCCTTGGCTTTTTCATTTTTGAAAGAAAAAGAAAAGGAGTCCCTAGCATTCCATTGGAAGTGGAATCTATCTAAGTGAAGCAGGAATGATGTAAATTCTTAGGGAAAAGCTGGACAAAAGAGAAAACTACAAATAGCTCTTGAATGTTTTTTACCTACTAAAATCCTCTAAAGATGAATGGATTCCCTGCACATGAGCTCAATATTTGACCATTTCTGCCCCTGAGACTCTGTAACCTTCTGCTAACACTGTCACTAGGGCGGTGAGTAGGTGTCTTAGTAGATAAGCCAGCATGTACTTGAACTGATCCACACACTCCTAGTTGTTTTCTTTTCAATAGTCTCTATTTAATGTTATCTTTCCCTTCACCCCCCCAGCTCCAAACAAATATACGTATTCATCCTTCTTTTAATCCCTAATATGAGGTTTCATGATGCTAAAATTGCTACTATAGATTATAGCCAAACTGAAGAATGATAGTATTTTTATGAATTAGGCAAAGGATGAAGTATACCAGGTGGATAGTAAAGACCTGCAATGATAAAACATAGTTTCCTATTACATTGATAAGGAGATGTGGTCATACAGTGGTTAAGTGCTTGGCTGCTAAATAAAAGCGCTGCAGTTCGAATCCATCAATGCTCCTTAGGAGCAAAGACTTGCTGATCCTTTCCGCCCTGTAATGATTATGGCCCAGAAAACCAAACGGACCACGCTCACTGTGGCCTATGGTCCTGTCTAGGACCCGACTTAATGACACCCAACAAAAACAGCAACATGACATTGGTGATCATTACAAGAACTCAAAATTGTAATGACAAAATTCATCTTAATCCTTAAAAATGTCCTTTAATGCGGTGTTTTTCATATGGTACATCCAAACCAAACCTGTGGCCTCCTATTCAATTCAGATTCACAGCAACCGGTAGAACAAAGCAGGGTTCCCCAGGCTCTAAATCCTCCAAGACGGACATCTTTCTCCGGTGCACCAGCAGGTCGTTTGGAACCACCAACCTTTTAGTTACCAGCCCAACTTTTAGTCACTGTGTCACCAAGTGCCTTATATAACATACTGGATAATTAAGAATAATTACTCAGCATATCAGGAAGCCCTGGCGGCAGAGTGGTGATACATGGAGGCACTAACTGCAAGGCCAGCAGTTTGAAACCACCAGTTGCTCCTTGGGAGACAGACAGGCTTTCTACTCCTGTAAGGAGTTACAGTCTTGCAAACTCGTGGGTGCTGTCCTATAGGGTTACCATGAGTAGGAATCAACTCTACGGCAGTGAGGTGTTGTTTGTTTGTTTGTTTGTTTGTTTGTTTGTTTTGTTTTACCCAGTGTGTCATGTAACACACATGGTTGGTATTCTGATGTTTTTCTTTTGCTTAGACGTATTATTTACACAAAGGAGCAAAATACTAATTCATAGAAGGAACAATTTGATTATAATTGTATTGCAGCAATAGGCAAACTAAGAGTGGCGAAACCGATCCCTTAGCAAAAGGTGTATGTACAAACAAGAAAATTGACTCAACACATTGACTAGATTAGAGTGACCATCTTCTAATTGTAGTTAGGGGGAGATTCTACCTTTGAGGAGCTTCATGGTAGAAAAAGTTTTCATCCAAAACCAAATCAGAATTAGTATAAAAAAGTCGAAGTATACTCTTGCCCCAGTCGAAAATCAATGCTGTTGGTAGTTAACATTACAACAGCAAAACTTTGAAGGATTAATGGCTTCTGACATCTAAACAAAAGCTGTGGGAAACAGACACATAAATCACATGGGTCAAAACATTATGAACCGTATACCTGGTGTAGTGTAAAAGAGAAGATTGCTTCAAACAGCACCAGGACCCAGACTCTATATAAATGCCTATTAAACACACGCAGCGGAGATACTGCCTGATCGGGCCCAATCACTCAGCAGTTGGCTGACACCATCTGTATTAGTGTTTCCTGAAACTAACCCACAACTGAGATTTATGGGGGGTTGGTCCTCTTTCCTAAAACAGTGCTTTCTTTCGGAAACATCAGAAATTAGATATTGTTAGAATAGAGTGAATCTGAAAACATTTAGCCTTTATGTTACTTAATGGAGCAAACAAATCATTGCCCTCGAGATAAAGTAATTTTATGCTTTCCAAATAAGTTTGTCTCTTTAGGAAGTGCACACCAAAACATTCATTATTATCTGTCTTGTTACCTTCATACGAGAAAAGGGGAAGTGTGTTGGCTACAGATCAGCACATTATAGAATGCATACTGTGTCCTGGGAATTATTAGATATTAGAGAGACAAAAAGAATCATGAAAGGGCTGTATATTAAAGGAGGACAGAGCTAATTAATAAAGGAGGCACTTATGAAATAATAACTCACGTGAGCTTGATCTGATGCTTACTCATTGTTATTTAAGGGCAACAGTATTTGAGGTCCTTCTGTATAAATACCCTAGTGTGTACATGCGACAAGATCATCGGCGAATCACTGAGGCCTACGTTAAGCTTGAAAATGGCTTGGTGCTCTGGTGGTTATGCGTTTGACTGCTAACCATAGAGTTGGCAGTTCAAATCCATCCAACAGCTCCATAGAAGAAAGACCTGGTGATCTCTTCTCATACAGATTACAGTCTAGAAACGCTTACGGAGTAGTTCTACTCTGTCACATGGGGTTGCGATGAGTGACAAATCGACTCAGCAACAACGAACAGCAACAGAAATGGGAAGATTTGACTGATGTACACCAGGTGGAAATGATGACAACCAAACTGCAGGCCAAGAAGAAACAAACCACGAGAAACATAAATGAATAAAAGAAACCACAGGGCCATCAACAGCATGGTGTACTTGGTGAACTAGGAAGTACTCTGTTCCTGAAGCATCATGGCGGGGGGAGATGGGAGAGAACAGCGGTAGAAGTAAGACGCTAGATCCAAGAAAGTCCTTTATGTGTCAGAGTAGCGCTTGTCTCTCAAAGGGGTTCACAACTGAGCACAAACAAGTGCATGGAAAAGAGCACTGAAGTATGTGGATTTCCAGGGGGGTGGGGGGTGATCCTGGGAGGTCAGAAGCCCAAGAACCCTAGAGGCTAAGAGCATGTGAGCCCAGAGGCTGTGGGCTGCCAGTAGGCTTGGAGCAGGCACATGTATGCCTGCACGGGGGAGGGAAACCCTCCCCTCCCCCTGCCTCCAACCAGGTGCAGGGTAAGAGAGAGTGGCCTTCCCACAGCCAGGATATTTCATGCCTCTGGCTGGAGAGGTGTGGCTGACCCCATTGACTGAATTAAGCCCACCTGGGTGATATCATAAGCCCAGGCCTAGTTTGGGTGCCCACGTGTACCTTCCACCTGGCTTGGGGACTTGAATATGAGAATGCTCAATTTGGGGTCTTCATAGGTGTCTAATGGTTGCCTGATGTCTTTTCAACCTCCTTTATGGGGGCTTTTGCAGGCATGGGAGGGAGGAAACTCCCCTGTCCCTAAGCTAGCTACCTAACACTTTGTGTAGTATACAGTGTGGTGATACAGAAATTGTTTTCCAAAAGAGATTGCAACAATCATCTTTGAACTTTGGGGATTATCACACTTGTGTTATAATAGAGGACAGATTGGACACAAATATGTGCAGGGGTCATGGCCACCATAGAGGAGATACGTGTTGAAGGCATAGAATAAAGTTTTCAGTCGTAGTCCATAAACCACAGGCATGTCTCAGTGACCTTCTCCCTGGGGCACAGTTTCAGCTGAGTGGCTGAGTGTTGTCTGCCCGTCGTGTGGGCAGTTGGTCTCCTTGGTCAGGCTACCACCCTAATGTTTTGTAGAGTTCAACTTTCATCCTTCACAGTGTTTATCTAGCTTCAGCTGGCAAGTGTCTGACTTTTCAACAAAGCTGCATGTTGGATGGAGTCAAATGCAAGGAAAAAATACAAGGAGGAGAACAATGTCAAGGTATACTAATATAAAATGAAATCGCCACCCGCAATAAATGACTGTGTCATGAAAGAGGAGAGTCCATTGAGAATGACTCCCAGCTTTTTGACTTGCAAAATTTAAACGGCTAATGATTCCTTTCATGAAACATCATCTTGGAATCCTTACTTGCATACATTTTAAAGACTCACAGCAAAAGAAGCATGGGTTTCATTACCAGGGAGCCAACCTCAAGTTACTAAGAAACAGCCTCTAATAACACAATCTGAAAAATACAAGTCAATATAAAAAAATAAAAAGAAGTTAATTGATATAATGTACACCAGGATTAAAATAGGTAATAGACGATCGCAACCTTTTAAAACAATTTGTGCAGAAAAAATATTTCATTTTTAATAATGAGATCTCTACTTAAGAAACCAGATGGTAATGTCTATACCCTTTACCCCAAGATCACCATTAAAAGATATAAAACAAAAATATTGATATCATTATCAAGCCATCAAAACAAATGTGGATAGTTGTTTTGTTGCTATGAAACATCATTATGCAGATGCACACTTTCAAATCATTCATTATGCTGACCACCGCAGCTTACTTCAGATCACTGTCATTAAGATAGGATTTTCTCATGAAGGAACCCATTAGAGTCACATCTCTGCTAGATGCCTTCAAAATAAATTCACTCCAAATCAGAGTGTGAGACAATGAAAGACAGACAGTTATAAGAAACAGCAATGACAAAAACAAGTGGGAGGAAGTCCCTCAGAGTCTTAAGATGCGTCTTCAGGGAGATCAGTCGTTATGACCCAGTGATGCTCCACGGTTGGACAGAAACACAAGCTCTGACTTGCAGCACCTCCTGTGGTCCTCGGCATGCCAGCTCAGAGAAAGTACAGTATAGGAGGAATGCTCATCAAGCAACTACATGTGCAGCGTACCCAGACCATACCAAATAGTAAGCTAAGTGCTTCTATTTTGGTTAGGGAACTTAAGCGGTGGGATCAACCCTAAAAGACCCATACTGTTTAT